AGTCGATACCGGCGAGTTCAGCGACGCTTCGCTTCTTCCTTACTGCTTCTCTATCCCTCGTAGCCCCTTTCACGCTCGCAATCAAAGCGTCGGCCGCTGCAACTCCATTCGTGTATGAATGGCTCTAATGGCGCTGATCTTGTTTTATAATACGGACTCCTACACTCGCTCGCTTCTATAATGTAATAAAGCTAACGTCACGACGATACGCCTTCGTGCCAGCAGCTCAATAAAAATCTCAGCGATCTCAACCAATTGATAATTAAAAATCCTTTTCATCGACTTTCATTAGGAATTGACGGCTTTGTTGAATATCTGCGCTCACAATGCTATACGCATTACGTATAATTGGTTTCTACATCTACACTACGACAGTATTTAGTTTCTAGGACTTAATACATCGTTAATATTTTGTTCTTTCCTTCTTTTCTTTGGTCCTCTCTATTCATTCAGCATATCAAAATATACATAATACATCTTTATAGTTAAACAGTTAGTACGTTATCGTTTTTTTTATTTCAACAATACCTAATCACATCACACGCGCATCTCTACAATATACTTTTGTCATTGAATCATTTATTATGACGTTGTTTTTCAAAAATGTGTAATTTCTTTTTTTATATTTGGAATTCATTATTATTATTTTTATTGTTCCGTATCAATGGTTATATAATATACAAGATGATGCTGTTTTCCAGCATTGCTTAAGAATACCACTTGACAGAGAGATTAATCAAAGCGTTAAAATTTTTAATTAATTACATGGATGTGACATGTCTGACGTAACAATTAATATTTGTATAAAATATGCTTACATCGACATTGTTCGATAGCCGCTTTTCAAAAGCAAAATGAAATAATTTTCTTCGCAAAATAAAACTTGTTTTCAAAACAAAAATATGTACTGCTAATGCATAAGACTTGTCTAACACATTCTGCAATAGTAAGTCATATTTTTAATGAATGTTTCGTGTATTTTATATTCATAACATAAAAATTGTCATCACATAAAAAATTCAATTTATTCAAAATAATATTTGAATAAATTTAGCGATTGCATAGGACTTAAATTCAACTTAACAACAATTATATTAATATCGTACAGCTTACCATAATTGATTAAAGTAAAATAAATTAAAATTATATCTTATATAATAATAAATTAATATATTAATATAAACAATGTTAAAATGAATAATTGAGTATAATTTTTTAGATTATTGATGAATTTTTTTTTCCTTTTTTTCTTTTTTCTAAATGATATATAACTTGGGATTTTAATAAAAGAGATAAACGATTGAATGAATCACGTGAAACTAGCATTTAAAATAGAAAATAATGATAATATTCATTTATATTCTCATGCTATGCATTCAAATTTTAGCCTTTAACGAACAAATTAGTATAAAAATCAACTAAATACGCTTTATTATTTACATTTTTATAAAAACCATGTTTATTAGTGTAATAATGACAATTGTTAAGATTTATTCAAAGCAAAATCAGTAAAGTATCTAAATTATTGTAAGAGGATAAAATTCACTAATACCTTAATATAAAGTATTTTAAAAAATTTTATTTTCGAAATTTCTTCTTTTTCTAACTAATCACAAAAAAAATTGGAAGTTCTAAATAACCTGAAATACTTAGGTATGCATTTTTTATGTTATTTAATCCGTTTTTAAATAATAATCAATGGATGTTATGTAATATTAATTACATGAGACCTGACCTCAAACATATTTATAATATTTCAAAATTAATGAGAATATTTTTAATTTATAGAGAAAAATTGCGAGAATTATTCTTTCATCCGTTTCAATGAAAATAATTTTTTTTTTTTTTTTTTTTGTTTTTTTGTATAGATATATCAAATCATTAGATTTTATCATGACTGAAGGCGATCGAAATGATTTGTGATAATGGATAGCGTAAATTAGATACAAGAATATAAAAGAAAATTTTTAACGGTTATTATACTTGATAATATAATAATAATTATCTTACATTTATTTCGTTTTTAAAAATTAGTTAAATACAATTAATTAAAAATATTATTAAATTGTAAAAACTAAACATTGAAAACAACATGGAAAATATTCAAATTATATATTTATTAAAATGAATAAATAATCAATATAATTATAATAATATATTTTAAAAAAAAAGTTTATTATATACATACGTATTTATGTATTTGTTGTTATGCCAATAAAATTAATACATATATTAATTTTTTATAAATTACATTATATAAAGAAAAGGAATTAATGATGAAAAATAATATAAAAAGTATTTGCATGAATTCTTCTTAAAAAAAAAATATCTTAAAAGTCGCATTATAAACAAAAATTGTGGTTTCGCATATCAATAACATTGTATCGTATTCACAAGTATTATCATACACAGCTATTTACATGTTACATGTTTACATATTATATGTGTGAATATACAAGTTTTTCTCAACTTAATACAGTCTCTTTATTGAATTCTACTAATCCGTAATTTCGATTTCGATAAAATTTAAAGGGATCTAATATTGTAAAAACTTTCAATAAAATTTCTAAATACAATAATTGTATAATTTAATTCAATCTTCAGTAATTTCTTTGTATATCTACAATATATGCTTTAAAGTGATTATGTTCAGTTTTAATAAGAAATCTACTTTTAAAAGAAGTAACAAATAGTATCAACTCATCGAAATATTTTATACCAAATGAAGAAGAACTCTTTTAAAGACGTTGAAAATAGACATTAAAGGTACAATCGAATCATTTTACATTACAAAGAAAATTGAGAAAGATTTGATTAAAGATGATTATATAATTTTCGTAATTTATCTATATTGAATAAAAAAATAATCTTGGTGTATAATAAGTAAATCTTCAGTATTTATATTTGATAATAAATGTAAATTGAATCTGGTTTGAGTATTATTTAAGCGAAAATGTTTGAAGTTTCCTTTACAAAACTAAAAAACATGTAAGTCTGCATATATATTATTAGCCAATATTAATTTAATATTTTATTATATTAATATACGAGTTAAAGCATCTATGTATTTACATAGTAATAAAATTAAATCAATTCATTTACTTTATAACCCAATTCCAATGATATTGAACTCTATTAATCGAATTCAGCGATATTATGTGAGTTGAAATAAATTGAGTTTTTAATTTATCCGTAAAGAAAATTTAGTTACAAAATAACTAACAATTACTTAAGTTTTCGATAAACTTTGAACACTTACTGACCGTATTTAATGCTTTATGAAAATAGATTTAGTGCATGCAGTGCAGAATTATATGCATAGCCGATAATGTCAACGATTTACATTCAGAAAAAATCGCAATGTTTGCTAGGATATAGGTGAAAGAAATTCGTATTAAAGCATTACAAATAAATGTACATGAAATTCCAATTGTACTTGATATATAAAATAATAATTTACTAGGTAAATTATTTTGAGAACTTCGTTATTTATTAAAGAATAATCTAATAAATTTGTACACATGTTCGCAATTCGAATACTATCTCTTTAACTTGAAGGTGTCTCTATTCTCTAAGGAGAATGCCAATTAAGATCGATAATACGTATTTATTGTCCTATTTCTCAAAACATTGAAAATAGCTAATGAATCAGATCAGATTGGATTAGTAACGCAAATGGAGTTTTTAAGGAAAAAGTAATCCGAGGTCAAGGAATTTGCTTTATAACTTTTATCTAATATACTTGTAAACATAAGCTAGAATTGGAGCATAAAACTTAACTATCTTTCAAGTCATTTCAAATTATAAAGTTTAATTATATTTTTGCATCGATGAATATCTTGTTAATAAAATTTATCGATATTCTTTAACGGTATTTACCCTTTCTGACGTGCTTTATCATATTTTTATGCGCATAATAATTTCTGTCAGTTCATTTTTTAATTTGGTTAAAATTATTTTCATCGTCGCACGAATGCATTTTCGATGAAAAGGCAAAAATAATACAGTGTTTCATATTTTGCATATTAAGTGACTAACCACTCGTTACTATTTTATGAAATTATATTACCGGCGGCGGCGGCGGCGGCGGCGGCGGCGGCGGCGGCGGCGGCTGCGGCTGCGGCGGCGTCAAGTTACATTGCGTTTATCCGGATCAACGGTCGACACTCCGAAATCGTGACACAAAGTCCAGAGGATTTGAATTTAACGAAGTTACGATTAATTAGCTAGGAGTGCAAAAAAATGCACACATGACAATTAGACGAAGCATTGCAGAGGTAAATGTTCATTGCGCATTGCTTTCGGTATGAACTTATTCTATCATATTTCACAAAATACGTACAGATAATGTACGTACGTATGTGTTTATACGTGTATATATATATATATATATATATATGGACATATAAATTTTTTTTTTCATCATATATATATAGATTACCATAACGAATAATCGTGGCTAGAAACATTTGCAGCGATATTTCTTTTTGAGATGCTTAGAAGAATAGAATCAAACTTTAGGTATACGGGTGGTATGTATATATCGGGTACAAATCAGAAAATCGAAAATTCAGGATTATCACCTTCTGTGCAATACGTTCGGCCTAGCTGAATTACGCGTCCGAGGTGAGTGGAGCAACGTCTTGCCTAAAGAAAGTTTAACATAGCTACGCATTAAGGACGATATGTGTCCCGCGACGAAATCCACGCGGGCTCCTATTAAAAAACGAAAAGAAAAAACGGAAAAAAAGCCTGGAAACGCTATAAATAGTTGCCGGCTCAAGGTAGCGCGTACACCTATATCATGCATCCGTATGCACAAGAGTGTAGAGGGGGCATTATACTCCGTGGTCTCTCTCTCTCTCTCCCTCTCGCTTTCTCCTCCCCTTCCCTCACTCTATCGCTCTCTCTCTCTCTCTCTCTCTCTCTATCACTCATTGGCTCGGTCACTCTATCTTTCTCTGGTCAGGCTGACGGTCGCTGCAAGAGTCGCGGCGCCGTCCTCCTCAGTCGATCCTGTGCGCTCGCCCGGAGCGCACCGCAGCAGCCAGTCGTCCTCCGCCCTGCCCGAGCGTCCCCCGGGATAAGGAGAAAAAAAGAAGAAGAGATAAAAAGACGAGCGAGGAACGTAGCAGGGGGAAGGGAACTCAGGGGCAAACCAGTCTCCCCCGGGGCGGAGGGAGGAATTTTTAATGAGGCGCCGCGGAGCCACGGGCATGCTGCCGAGGAGGCAAGACTGACGCAGGCAGGTACGCAGGTGTCAGGTGAGTGCATTGTGCGCGAGTACCTAGGCTTCTTTTATCGTCACGGGAGCCGCTTGCTCGCTTGCTCGCTCGCTCGATCTTGTATATGTACGTGCGTGCGTGCGTGCGTGCGTGCGTGCGTGCGTGCGTGCGTGCGTGCGTGC